GACATGATGAGTTGCTTTTGCAGAAAGTTAATGATGGACAACTGGTTGAATGGTACTGTTGCCATTCTATGAATCTGCTCCTTAGTTTTTTTTTAAAATTACCCTATGACCTGACTTGAAATTTAATGTATCCCATTTCCCCAGCTCCCAACAAGCTACAATTCTCCATGACAGAACCAAAAAGGACAGTGCTATTCCTCACAACTCACCAGTTTGCACAAATGGGTTCAATGGTACAACAGTGGGCATAATCATTAAAATTTTCTAATGATCACATGATTGTTTGAAGATCCTTTATCTGAATCTATCATCTTCAAGCCGGCAGAATCCCATTTCTACATTGTAATGTTTACTTACATGGTCCTGATACTGAACAATCTTATTTTCTTAAAATGCCAAAATTCAAAAAACAGGTTCCACAATGAAATTTTCAAATTTAAAATTACAACAGTCAATATAAATAAATACTTATTTGGCACATTTAATATAGCCCCTGTTCAGGTCCCATGCCCCAATCTTAAGCCAATACCATCCAACTCCCACTGTGTCCGTTTTAGACTTGACAAATCTTAGCAATTCAAGTCACTAATTATAATTTATTGAATCAACACAAATAAAAAGTAGAGGCAGAAATGGTTTTAGAAAGTGATATAATTAGGCACTTTTAATTTAATACAGAATGTGGCAAGAACCAGACCTGCGGAAACAATCTGTTACATGCCAGGTTTAAATTCCAACAACTCTTGACATGAATACATCCAAAACAGCCTCCTTAGTTTACAAAAGTAACATTAACAATTTATTTCATTAGCTAACCGCGGCATGCATAAAAACAGATTGGCAGTATACCCAACTGTTATAGTTGTATGAGCAAGCAATATCTAGACAACTTTACTTAGCCAGTTAACATTGCAATTTAATTTATAGAGTAAAGCTGTCTCTTTGTCATTGTTAAAATAACATTTTAAAATCCCAGTAAAACAAACAAGCTGCCGAGTTAGGCTGAGCCTTCTGATTGAGGGAGGTTTGTATCTAACGCTTGGATTTAACAAGGTTCTTGGAAAATGTCAATTATTTAAAAACAGCTATTTTCTCATTCTTATCTTTAACATAGGAACATTAAATTCTATTGCCAAACTTCAAGAGTCTAAGGAAGTGAATTCAATATCAAATCTTGAAGTGGCAGTTTTCTTTAAATATATATGCTATTTGTGACAGCATGAAGAGCACATGATTTAAACATCCCTGAATGGGTTACTTACTCGCTTAAAACAGAAAACAAAACAAAGCAACTCATAGCAAGCCATCAGAAGCTGCAATAATGCTATTGAAACTTCAGGACTTTTTAGTTTGGAAGATTATGGGCATTTGACATTCAATTTACTCTTAGCACTTCTCTGGAGTAGGACACAAACTGCACTAATTTTGGGGACGAGACCAGAACACATCAGTTGCTCATCTCAAATGTCTCAAGGCTGTTGTATAAAAGGCTCACACTTGAAGAATGAGTGTGAGTGGGATACTGGAAATCTGAGCACTCCTGGAATCCATACACAAGGCAAGAGTTATTACAGTCAGGAGGTCGGGGAGAAAATTCAGCACGTGCACTTACAAGTTGATGTACAGTAAACTGCCTGTGTAACAGGCAAAAATGCATAAAGTTCTATCACATGTAGCAAACAAAGCTAAGTGGAGCACTAAAGACAGTTCATAGTGCATGAAAACTTAGCTTGAGTTTATTAATGCCATCTGAACCTGTCCGTGACATTGCAGCAATTGGTCTGAAGCAAGTGTCTGCCACCTAACTGCAGACAAGCGAGCTTTCTTCCTCTTAAGTTTATGAAACCCAAAGTCTCCCAGACATTAACAACCTAATTTTATCTCAAAATATGACCCCTTTTTGGAACATTAAGGTAGAGGTAGAGACAGCAGTAATGCAGATAAACCTGTCACACCTGGGACCTTAGCCACTGCTGACTGCACACCAAAGTCTAGCACTCTTCATTCACTGTATTAGTGGCAAGGTTGATCCAGAAGGATTCCATGTTCTTTAGATACAGGCTTGACTCTAGTTGCAGGCTGCACTCTAAGTCTTCATTCATTTTTTTTTCTCAGGATCTTCAGGAGTGCCTTGGACATGAAATAGGGTCGTTCATTCGAACCATCATTCCTCTCCAGGTCTTCCACTGCATGGACAGCAACATCATAATCATATTTGTCAATAAGATTAACAAATTTAAGGTCAACTTCAATCTAGAAACTGGGTGCAAAATTAGTACGCAAACACCTACTACAGTTGACCCTGTGCTGTCAAAGCAGCCTCTTAAAATGATGGCCACACATCCATGGATGCAGTTCAGAAAAGTATACCTTTAGCTGAAGGCTGATCAAAGAAAAAAAAATTGTTTCCAGTGAAAGTGTCAGATTGCAAAGAAATTTAAGTGGAGAAGTGAGTAATAAGTAATTGAGTAGCTACTATCATTTGAGTGTAGAAATTCTATTGAAGTTGTCATTGAACTATTCCAGAGTTGTCTCAACTGAAAGCTCTCAACCTCCATACGAATTTTTAGGCAGTGACAATTAAGTCTAATTTGGTTGTCCCTTATTCATAAACCAATCTGCATCTCTCAACCTCTCACCTCATCTCTCAATCTAGTCCAAATAACAATTATTTCTTGTATCCATTAGATCTGTTCACTTCACTCTCCCTAGGAGTTTATTCCACAATTTGATTATTGTTTTGGAAAGAAAAATGGCTTCCAACACAATCCAGTACCAATAGAAATATGCCCACCTTCACACTGTTAGTTAACAGTTAACTAACAAGGAGAATTTTGCAGCAGCATGACAAAAGGCTGTAGTTTAGTGACAGGCTCCTCCCAGGGCATCTCATTAATGATGTTCTTCATTAGTCTAGTAGTAGTGACTGTGCCTCATTGCAGTAGCTCTCAGTCACTCCTCTTGAATCTGTGGTGTCTGAGAGTAGCTTTCCTTTTTGTACAGAATGTCGCGCAGATCCGGCGATGAATAATACGGTCTCTCTGCGGAGCCATTGTTCCGCTCCAGATCTTCACCTGGTTTCCCAGCAGCAGAAGCAGAAAGGCAGAAGAATTCAAACACATCCCCGTGCAGAAGTGATGAATGGAGGCAGATAGTGCAACAGCAAACGAGGAAAGGAGAGAGTGAAAAAGAGAAAGCAGCAAGTAACGATTACAGTCAGTAAAAGGAAATGATGTCACAAAAATACAGACAAAGCTTAGTAATAAGCAATCAGAAAAAACAGAGACCATTGGAAATACAAATGTGTCGGTATCGCAAGAGAGCAGACCTGCTATGGGATTTAGAATTCCTTTCCTAAAATCAGAGACTTCTCCAGGTTCTGCCACCTTACTTAAAAAAAAAACTGTGGAGATGTGATGTGGATAAACTTTACAGACTGAATTCCCTTGGATGTGTTGATAGGACTAGCCAGCTGTGCACCTGTAGGATTACTTCAAAACTCATGTTTGTAAATGTAAAAGAACAGAGGTACAGAAGATGAGCTGATCAAGAACAATGCTGCAGATTTAAGGTTATTATTGGTGCTTGATCAATATCTATAACCATGAGCAGAAGGTTAATTGCGTCACCCGAACTGGGAATGCATTGCAACCAGATTCCATAACGGTTAGAGGATCTAACCATGGCCAGTTTACCCAATGAAGTCAGGATCATGGATTAGTTCTGGATTCAGACCTATAGCCATACTGATTTCATTCCCATTTCAAACCAACAGATGGAACAACAGTGTTGGAGAAAATACAAATGAGTAGATAGGAGAAAACGTAAAATAAAGAGGGGAGGATTGTAAGCAAACAGATTCAATGACCTGATAAACCCATACTGACCCTAATAACAAGGCTAGTTACAGGCAGACATTTGGAAATCAGAAACA